AAGAAGCTAAAACTATGTAGCCGAGCCGACTCGAATTCAAACATTTCAAAAAACGCACTTTCTAGACAGGAGCTTGGCTGCCGTCTTCACCAATTATTCAAGCGACACTGCATTTCTGTCAGTCCCGTCAGGCTTACAGAGAACGTGAGTTTAATGATGTGCACACTGTCGTTCTGCATGAAAGAAAACATGCAGTTGCATGGCATGCTCTCTACAACAGCTGCGTACAGTATCTTGCAGCGCTTGTCCAGCGGCCATAACTCGTTGTTTTGTTTGTCAATAGATGACGCCAAAAGCCAATGTCCTTTCTTTTGTTGCCGGTTGATGATGGTCCTGTAGACAGCCGCCGCAGAGCGCAGGCCACGCGCTCATGTGTTCCCTTACATAAAGTACGACAGTGTACTCGTGAAAAATGCACACCTGCTCAAATAACAAGTCCAAATTATTGTGCTCACCCGTTGCCTTTAGGAAATGCTTAAGAACCTTCGCAAAACTAGAAATTTCCGGGTTAGCACACTGCAGAGCAGCGCGAAACATGTGTTGTCCGACTAAGTCATCTTCGATGATCGCATGGTTGACTAGTCGGGCGTAGCTCACTGCGGTTTCTGTTCTCTGCCTGCCACAACTTGCTGCCTTTATCTTTCCCGTAGTTGACACGCAAACTGAGTGAGGTAACTGAGCGCGATCTAACTTCTAATATCAGTGAGCGAGGGGCGAAAAAGAGCAGAGGCAAGCGCTACAAATGCAAGTCCATGACTTTCCACCCTTCACTTGATTAAATATTATCAAAATAACAAACAAGAATAGACATATAACCAAAAAGAAAAGTTCTTTACAGGGGTGTCAAATTTTTTCATTTATTAAAACTTTCAGAAGCCAATAAATGCGAACATTAACATCAACCTCATTCCGCTCAACCAGATCTCGGGATGCCCAGTAACTGCTACGAGCCTGCATGTTCCTTGAAACCAAAAGTAGCGCTGAGTTTCTGGTGCCTGATAGTGGCTTCCCTTTTACCTTTCGCTGGTTGATATTGCCATAAAGGAGTAAAAAATTCGCAGTTCGAACTAAAACATGATAAATTGTTCGACAACGCCACTCATCCAAGCATCAGCCAGTACGCTCCGTGCCATCGGCACGCTCTAGAAAAAAGGAAAACGCTGGTTGCCAGTCTGGTCCGCCTCGCCCGATAGAACGGTCTGTTTAGGGCTAACTTCGTGACACTGAGAAAAGAAGGAACAGCGTTCCGATTTCGTGTTGTTTGTTCTCTGTATGCGTGCACATGGTTACACTGCCGGTCCGTCACAGTTATTATACAACGAGAAATATCTTTTATTATACTGGCATGACTTCATCTCACCAGCTGTTATATTAGCCTTCATTTGTGTGAGCTGCAGGCGTTTGGGAATTCAGTTCGGGTTGAGACACTTTCTGGCTATTCCGTCAGAAGCCATTTTAACGGGGCGATAATTCAAGGATTTGCAACGTCCCGTAACAAGCAGATGACGATTTCATTTCACACAGAAAGAGTTTTGATGAATGATGAAGGAATTGTCAAGTGTGCTCCATTTTTTTACACAGTTGTGCATAAGTGTTCATTATGTAAATGATCACTTCTAATCATTTTCTTATCTATTATTGGAGCTTTAATGGTTTTAAGGGGCTAACTTGCTGGAGAACTGTAAGACATTCTGCCGCTAACACACACGCGCTCACGAACATTTTTACAAGTGTTTGAGAACATGCGACTAATTCCCACCTGATCTGTAATGTGCAGGATCGTATATTAGTTTACGGCATAAGCATTTTTAAAGGCTACTCTTCAGGGGTGTATATGATAGAAGTAGAAAAATGAAGGGCATATACTTACTGAAAATATTACCAAAACAAGCTAGAACTTTGTCTTAAAAGGCCTCTAAACCACCCAGAGGTCGAAATTCAGTTGTGGTGGGAAAGTTGTGCGTGAGTGTACAACGAAGTAGGAGCCACCAGATTTTTTCGAAACGATGCTGTAATAGCGGAGTTGGACGGGTTTGTTTATCGAAGCACGGCGATCGCTACTTCCGCTCTCGCATTTGATATAACTATCGCTATTATCCTCTCTTTTATGTTTCGATTTCCCTCTTTTCTCTTTGTTTCTTTTATTGCAATTATATAGACACTCTCGGCTGGATTTCGCCGCCGGCATTGGCGTCACTCACCGTATATGTATACAATTAAATTCAATTCAGCTTTATTTCAGGTGTGCCCTGAGCAGACAGAAGCTAAAGGCTTTAATCGCATGACGGTGGACTCTGCCTCCGGAGTTTGGAGCAGGTACACATTACATAAAGCAAAAGAGTAACCACACATATACAAAAAAGTTAATTATGTACAAAATTGAACGGTAATGAGACGCCACGACAGTGGTGATTGCTACAGTGTTACAGAAATCCAATGCTACAAAACCGTAATGAACAGAAAATGTTACATAAACATAGAACACGTATAGCTTTACGACAAACAAATAGCTAGCAACTTAAAATAGTATATAAACGCTTAATAACCGACTTCAGTGGTAATGAGATGTGCCTCAAATTTATGGGTTTTTTTTTTTTGTGATATCAGTCCAGCAGGCAATGCCTTTGTATTTGTTCAGGAAATGTGCAACTCGGTAATATAATGTCTGCTTTCCATAATTCGTCCCAACTTTGTTAATCGACGCTGAATATTCTTGAACTTATACCTGTCTGTATCAGTATAATTGTTTACTTCAAAGGCATTTTTATTGTGTATATACTGCAATAATTTAAATAGGTAGATCTGACTGGGCTTTAATATGCTGTATTTTTTCAACAATTTTCGAGTGCGTAAGTTGCGTATGTCTCCTATATAATTTTTAAATATACACAGTACCCTTTTTTGTAAAACTAACAACCTATTCTAAACGGTGTTCGTAGTTGTTCCCCAAACTACAGTACAGTATGTCAGTTTTGAATACACCAATGAGTAGTAAAGTTGTCTTTTTAACCACAGTGGTATCAAAGAATGATTCTCCAACTGCAACCTATGCTTTCGGCTGTGTCTACTGTCAAGTGTGATATGTGCGTATTCCATGTCATGTTTTCATGGAACCAGACTCCTAAAAATTTCTGTTCTTTTGCTCGTGTAATTTGTGTGGATCCATATTTATATGCTATGTCACCTACATTCGGCTTATTAGGTGGTGCAAATAATATGTACTGTGTCTTATTCGCATTTAACTATAACTTATTATGATGTAGCCATATAGTTGATTCTTCTAGATAAGAGTATGTCATTGTTTTTAACAGGTTCATGTCTTTTGCAGAGAAGAATTTGTTGGTGTCATCTGCATACATTATGATGGCTTGTGTAATACCTATACCCGCTATATCATTGATATACAGCAGGAACAAAGTTGGCCCGAGTATCGAGCCTTGTGGTACTCCAGTTATGACATTTAATCAGCTGGATGAAAAGTTATTCATTGTTGTGAATTCGCATCGATGACGTAAATAACCTGTCATGAGTTCTAATGGAATGCCCCTTATCCCATAATGTTGAAGCTTCAACAACAGCACTTCGTGGTGGAAAAAGTCAAAGGCCTTTCGTAGGTCTGAAAATATTCCTAGTGCGTAATACTTTTGCTCAATTGCTCCAATAATTTTTTTCTTTTACATGAAGCAATGCTTGCTCTGTGGACTTCATTTTTTAAAAACCCATACTGGGAGATAGATAGGATGTTGTATTTGAGTAGAAATTTCGACAGTCTCTCGTTTATGGCCCCTTCAAATATTTTTTAAAAGAATGGCGAGACTGAAATAGGTCTATAATTGGCAACCTAATTTTTATTTCCTTCTTTGTAGATCAGAGTCACTTTTGCAATCTTTAAGCAATCTGGGAATATGCCTTTTTCAAACATCAAGTTCATTATGTAAACCAGAATCGGTGCTTTTGTACTAGTGACGACATGTTTGCCTGGTTCCGTTTTTACTTCGTGATGAATATACAAACGCAAAAAAAAATTCGAAAAAAACACTCCGGCACGTGGAATCGAACTTGGGACCTCTGACACGTGAGTGCGACGTTGTTGACCACTGAGCCGTGGAGAAACATGTCCCTGACCGGGACCGTTCAAACAGCAAGCTATTTATATCTACCACTTACTGATGATGATGGGCATCTAGGGGAGGGGGAAATATCGTGTTTTCAGCATTACCAGCAAAGTGGCTCAGTGAGCGCACGTCGCCACATCGTCACAACGCGACGGTGCATGCTCTCATATCGCATGCATACTTTGCCCCGCGGAAAGGAGGAGGTGGATGCTCAGTCGCGCGCCCTTATCTCACAGTAGAGAGGATCGTACGTCTTGGCTGGCCTTTAACTTTCACTGGAACGATTCGGTTGGAGTTACAAGGCGCACAAAGGTCATTGCAATCGTTCCACAGTCTCTGTTTGCAAAAATAGCACGCTTTTCAGACACAGTGAAGTAACAACTGAGACGCTTATTCGTGTTAATCTGTATCTGTCAGTACGTTTCCTGCATTATTTGTGCATAAGAAACGTGGGGCTCGTTTCGATCTGCTTTCAATTCTGCGCATGACCTTCCCATTTGTTGCTATCGCGTTGATTGCTTCGCCTCTGCAGCAAAGCTGTGACTTTTTTACCCTCTACTTTCTACCTATTTGTATCTCCTCTCTCTTCATCACGTGTTCATCTGACACTTGCACCCACTGTAGTTGGTTGTGCGGCTAGCCTAATTTCACACAAACGTGTTTCTCTACGACAAAGCACTACTACTTGAAACAAATCTGCATGTGCGCCGCCAAAAACAGGTAAATACAAATCGACTTTGAGCAGAACTTTACCTTATGAAGTGTTCTCCGTTGTTACATTTGCCGAGACAGCAATTTGAGCTTGCCTTAACTGAGTGGCCAGAAGTCAGTGATGACGAAAACAGGAGACGCCTCCTTTATTGTGAACTCAATCAATCAGTGCTTTATTTATAGTGCAGAGCGAAGAACCTTACAGAGCACAGCTGCCGATTGTTGGAGTCCGCAAGCTAATAAAAGCGGTATGATAATTTCATGAGAACATTCATCAAGATACGCACTGAAACAAAGTGGCTGTGAACACCGGGATGCTAATTTTTCGTTCGCAAAACGGATGAAAATACAGCTGAAAACGACAAGCACCCACTTGCAACTTTTTTAAAATGAAACTGAAAAATTGCGCTGCGCAAGCAAACCCCACATGAACGCTAACAGCTGACCAAACTAAAAGTTCACAACACTGTCTCAAGAGATGGTATCTTGTCTCGTATATTGCGTGCCATAAGGCAGTCACTCTTGGTCATGGCCGGTTGGCAGAGTGGCCCTGCACAACTCCTGTGTCCCACTGGCGACCACGGCGTCACCCAGCACGTTCACAGCCGTAGAAAGACGATTCCTGCATCAACATATCACCCGTGGCAATGCAATGCGTCACTGATGCAAGCAGCGACAGTTGAGCATAAGACAGACGGTGTGATTTTGCATTCGATGTAGCATGCGGCGTGGTGATACGGCAGCCAGACTTGTGACATTTCATCGCATCGCACCGCCGCATCGCATGGCTGGCGATCATCAAACCAAGCAGGTATTTTCGTCGTCGCATCGCAGCGTCACACGGCCGCAGCGAGTGACAGCTCGGGGGACGTGTGTTGTCACGTCGCTGGTGGCACGACCTCCCTAGCACCACTCTGATCACCGTGGTCAATGCAAGGCCAGGCTAGACTAGAATTGCTGTATAATAGGCAGCATACAGTAATTCTGGACTAGACAGCACCTGTGCGCGTTTCTTTTCTTACAGGCTCCTCACCCGTCGCAACAGCGATGGGAGAGTTTCCGAGTGTGTTTCGCCACCTGTCCGCGGTAGCGGCACTGCAACCCTGACATTGCTAAAGTGACTTTAAACCTTGCATCTTCTGCGCTACCTGAGCCGCAGACATGGCACAAGAGTGTTGCTCAACGTATATTCTGTACCTACTTCCTTACACAAAGCCTTTCGAGGGCTCTGTAATGCACCGTAATAAATAAAAAATAAAATGTAGAATTCTTGGCCTGTTTTTAAAATTGCTACATTTACCGGCTGGAGCTGCTTGAAGAATGGGTGCCTCACTGTACGAAAGTCCACCACGGTTGGTCAGTGCTGACCTGGGTTCGATCCCGGTCGCGGCAGTCTCATTTTTATGAAGGAAAAACGCTAGAAGCTCACGTACTGTGTGATGTCGATGCGCGTTAAAGAATACCAGATGGTTGTATTTTCGGAACCATCCACTACGGCGTCATTTATAATCACATGGTGGTTTTGGGATGTGATATTCCACATATTATTATAATCAACATGCAAAAATTATTTGAACACTGTTCGAATTGGTGTTATTGCTATTCAATTTGTATCAAATTCTGTCTGAAAATTCACTATTTGCACATTTTTACTTTGTTGAAGTAACACGGCCACTGAAAAGCGCCAGGCATGCGCCGAAGCCACAGCACAGTCACGGCGAAACCTAGAAAAGAGTAACCTTTCAGAGCCTTTTCAAAACATTCTTTGTGTAACTACTGCAAGCACATTTGCTTGATACCCACTAGGGCATTAATAATAAATTTTTAAGTAGTAGACCGGCATTCGCTATGCTATTTTTCGTCATTTTTCTGACAAGCTTGGTATCCGCTAAACGCTTGCAAGGAATTTTGTGCCAATTGTTAAGAAGTGCCTGACCACGATGAGGAATTATGGCTGAAGTCGGTATGCGCCACAGTTAATAGGGGAACAAGAAGAAGCTTTTGTAATGGGTTGGAGCATTTGACGGCAGTGTGGCCCATTACACTCATTACGCTATTCACATTGTGTGACGACTGGTTGTTCTTTTGCTGTTTCAAAATGCTTTATAAGTCATATTAACGCGATTGCGATCCCGACATCAAGCCTGCCTAAGGCAAGGTTCCCAACAAGCCACAAACACCGGCATAGCTCAGTGGTAGAATACTGGGCCTGCACTCAGTGGACCCGGGTTCGAGCCCCACTGTGTCATTGGTGATAGGATGTTTTTCTAATTTCGCGCAATGTGGTTACGGACACCGGCGGTATCGGCAGACAACTGCGCGTGCCCCATGTTGTGATCTCAGAACAGCGTTCGCTGTGAAAGGGGGTGCGGCCTGTTGCATGCCCCAAGAGTGGCGGGAGCTGCCCAGTTGAAAGAATTGCCGCTATGGAGCCACAAGACAGGTCGCGTTAGAATTCTTTAATGAAAAGTAGAGTGCCCGTGTGTTTCAGGTTTCTTGAGGATGCTCAAAAACTTTGAAAATATTATTGGCGACCAAGTAATCAACATTCCCCTCTATGCGTTTTTTTTTTCTTCTAAATGAAAAATATTTTATATAAATCTTTAACACCATTCGATGCTATACTTATAATCATGGTCACCGACACTGACATGAATTCTTGTTGTTTAAAGACAACCGAAAATGCAATGGCTCCTTGGTCTCTCATATATAGCTAGATACAGTGCCTCAAGAAGGTTCCCAACCCCCGTTGTTTGTTCTCGCCTTGTTCTTAAAGGCCTGACCACACGTACACGTTGCAGACTGTCTGCGCTTCGCTTTTTGGTGCGGCACCCCGTCCTCTCCCTACGGAGAGAGAGGAGAGCTCAGCTTTGTGTAGCAGCGCACTTTCTTTTTCTATAGCCACGTCGCGGTAGTCTAGTGGTTAAGGTACTCGGCTATTAACCCGCAAATCGCGGGATCTAATCCAGGCTGTGGAGGATGCGTTTTCAATGGAGGCGAAAATGCTGTAGGCCCGTGCGCTCAGATTCGGGTGCACGTGAATAACCCCAGGTGGTTAAAATTTTTGAAGCCCTCCACTGCGGCGTCTCTCATGATCAAATGGTGGTTTTGGGAAGTTAAACCCCACACATCAAAGAATCAATTTTTTCTCTATAGGAAGAGGGCGCGGCGCCACTTCAAAAAGCCATGCACTGACTGGCTGCAACGCGCGCATGAGGTCAGCCTTAAGGCGCGTGGATGTGCGTCTACTAGCGCCAACGAGGTCAAAACTGTCATCATCCTATTTGTATCGAGCGGCCGTTGCAATACACACATAATCCAGTCCGTGTAGAGGAGTATGCCAATGCCGTCTAGCGGAATCCCGAGGGAGGTCATCAGGTACACCAATACCACACGGCCGGCCTGAGGCGACGGGCTTGTATTCAGGGTGGCCAGACAGCACATCAACCTGCAAAGGCTTCCTTAACAATAAACTCTCGCAGTGCCGATGCCATTATGAAAGCCACTGGATACTATCAATTTGAGTATTTGATACATTATCAAGGCCTCGACACACGCATGAACCTCCTTATCGTGGGGGAGGTATAATATGTGAGGTAGATTCTTGTGAACATGCACGTACATGTAAAATATAAAAAGTGATAGGGGCTTAAACATATCTCAGAGATATTTCGAAGTTCGAGCGCACGATAGAGTGCTATATGCCTGCACCTCACAGCATTGGCACCCTCGAAAGGGACACGAGGGGACTGCCCCCTACCAGAGTCGGGGTGACCCGCCCTGTCGTAGTCGCCATTACTCTTTTACCCACGGCTTAAAGTATACCTTCATTAGAGAGGGAAAGGCTGATGGAGCGGTAACCTTAATAATAATAATAATAATAATAATAATAATAATAATAATAATAATAATAATAATTCTAACTATGCCCACTGCAGGGCAAAGGCCTCTTCCATGTTCTGTCAATCAAGCCAGTAATAAGAACGTAATATTTCCTAATCTCATCTGCCCACTAATTTTCCTTCTCCCTCTTATGCCTCTGCCTTCTCTTAAAATCCAATCAGTTATTCTTAATGACCAGCGGCTATACTGCCCACACACTACATGCAGTAACGATGCATACATATGCTTGGGTACAATGCTGAGAGTGACGTAACTGATAGCACAGTTGATGGAGACTGCTCGTGACACCAATGCCAAATGGCTTTTCATTTCTCCTAGTCATACACAGCTTTCACTGTAGAGAACATAAGTGCTGAAGGTCTGCGTATGCGTTTTAAGGCCGTTTCACATGACACAAAATGTGGCAATTTTCAGACTGCGAATTTGCTCGCAGCGAAAAAAAAAAAAGGCAGTTTGCTCACACCACAGCGGTCTGTGGTGAGCTACCAATATGTTGGAAATTTTAGCTGTGATTGCAGCGGCAGAAGTGATTTTTCGTCGGGACCCATCGAAATAAGGCCAGGCCGTCCAATCTGTCTAAATTGGTTCGACGTGCTTGTTTTGTTAATGGCTGATGCTCTGCATTTTAAAATGAACTTAAATTGGAAAATGTTCTTATATGATGAAACAATTAGGCTATTACTTCATTGCCATTCATGGAAACTTGATTAGATCATAAAGCACAGATTATTACATTACATTCGTGCCTACTCAAAGAATCGTAGCAAGAGCTCGCCGCTCCAGCCAGAAAGCGAAAATGGCGGAGCATTTTCAGTCTGTGTGAAACAAAACCACCATTAGCAGCGGTTGTGAACAGAGCGAATGGAGCAAACGGAACGATTTTTTTCACTGCAATCACGGCATGTGAAACAGCCTTTAGGCGAAGCCTAACAGGCTTTCAACTAACACGCTTCGGAATTAGCAGTGTCCTTCAATTTCTTTTTATGTTATTTTTCAATAAAAGTTCAATAATTACAATGTGCTTGTACCCTAGTTTGCTTCACATTGCCTAACACCGTGCGCTATTTTTTCACCATAAAAACAGTTGACCACCATAGTTACCCGACGACAAGATGTTCTCCGAAAGTGAACGCGATGTTGTTCTTTTGCGCAAAGAAGAGCACAGTGACAATGAAGTAGATGGCGGTGCCGTCCATGTTCATCGTGGCACCGACGGGCACCAGGAAACGGGCTAGCGGAGGGTCCATCCTAAGTCCCTGCTCCATCGACATAATCAGCGTTGGCGCCGTCGCCGAGCTGCAAAAAAGGCAGCTGCTTCGACGTCACTGTCAACCATCTCACCGCTAGTGCTTAGTACGATAGAGGGAAAAAGTCTGCGGAGGCGGCGACGCATGGTGTTTCAGCCAGCATGGAAATGATTCACAAATTTGTTCTAAACTTCGTTCTTTAGGACCCATTGTGCTGCAACTGCATTGTTGCAAGACGAAGTTCAGCAAATGTTCAGCAGTTCCACTTTAGCAACTTTAGCTTTTCAGGCTCACGAGGTTCATAACGGTCCATTCTGTTATTCAAAACAAACACCACAAAAGAAACAACAAAGTCACAAGTGCTTTCGAAGCTGCAAGCACGATCCATCCTTCAGAGAGCGTCGACCAGAGTATTGTGACTCCCCTTAGCAAAAAAGTGGTCAATGGTGTAGTGTACACGTATCCCGAAGAGTTACTGCCACTAGCGTAGGTCCGGTCTAGGCGAGCCGCAGGGCTCACGTAAACCGTCGCTGTGGCGTGAACACGGTACTGCTCAAGGTCGCAACACTTTGGAAAAGACATGGCGGGAAAGCAAATGGGCTTATCCACGCCACGAGCGAGAAGTACTACACAGGGTGTCGCGAGCACGTCTCCGTGGGCAACAGTGATTCACGGGAACACCGAGACAAAACGGCCCGGTCGCTCGAGCGAGGCAAAAATGTACTCACATTGGCTTTGGAGAGATATGGGTCGGTGTTCTCTGGCCACGCACTAGGACACCGCAGCGCTCTTCAGCGTAGCATTCACAAAGGGCAACAAAAGGTGAGCGTTCCCCGTGGGCGCAAGGCCAAGTCCGACGCGCCCAAAATAATAGAAGCTGCCGGACGGAAAAAAAAATGCGAGCTCAGCCTCAGCTGTCCCAGAGAAATCTGACTCACTCCCAACGCGCACACATGAAACGTCCCGAGGAACTCCGCGCACGGCGCTACAATGGACATCTGCTACCAGGTGAGAGCGGCTAAACGTCGCTTCCTGCTACCCCAGCGCGACAGACCATGGAAAATGGGAGTCATGTCGGGACATCAGAACGCAGAAAAAGGCGGCAAAGCCCACGGAAAGGCTCGCCTCAATTCCCACAACAGCTGCCACTTAGAGAGGCAGGCAGTTGTGACTTTGTTTTTACTCTTTTTTAAAGAGTAAGGTGGCTGAACGATCGCAGCGCCAGAATTTCCTCTAGGTATATAATGGTAGGAAACTATATGTTCAGCACTATCAAGCCTGAGGGTGTAACCAAGTTAGATGCTTGTGCAGCAAAGCATATATATATATATATATATATATATATTTACCTTCATTGCTAGGACTGAGACATTTGACACCTCTAACGCCACATAGATATGTTTATTCATGTTATGCCATATCGATGCATAATGATTATTCTGCTTCGCATTTATGGCATATGTCTTTAAATGATGTGTCAGTGACCACTAGTAACTGCGGTTACAAATCAACATGGCAGCGTCTATACAGATGCAATCACCCACTTCAATCCGAACATGAGCTAGCTGTTCGCCTCTAGCAACAAATAAATGGTGAGACGAGCCATAATTTTGTGCCACCTCACGCTGACGACAAAGCATCAGGTACATTTTGTCGTCATTTGCCGTGACAAGCTGTTTGTTTATGCACTTCACAGCGGAAAGGTCTACATAGGCCAAATGAAGCGCTACATAAACGACAGGGCCATGCAGCATCTGCAAAATATAAAGGAAAAAGAAAAAAGAACCAATTTAGCTGACTCTTGCAATACATGGAAGTGTGATCCCCGACAAAATGAGATTAGGATGATCAGTACACGTGTAAATATTGTTATAGAGAGCATTTATTTAGGAGTCGTGAGTCGATACCAGAGCGGGATCACAGTGCACAGGGTGCACAGATTGCCAGTCAACAGGGAAATTCAGACTGAGCCCCACAACAACAACTTCGTTGTCTTCTTCCGTTGGGTGTCATTTCAGCGGTTCTGCCGGAGAGGTATTTCCGCACCCGTGCCATTACCCCAGCCTGTAAAGCACCGTCCCAGTGCGAGTTATGTCTAAAAGGGCCGGCGTGTCACTATCGGAGGCCTTCAGGCAAGAAAGAAGTACTATGTCAGTTCTGAGAGTCGATGAGTTCGATTATTTGGTTGTTGGAGAAATCTCGTAGGTGACTAGGTGTCACCTGGCACACTACTTGGTAAAGCCCGACATATCACAATAGAAGCTTCTCGCTCGAAGCAAATAGAAGCTCCTTCTTGAAGCATCACGCCCGAACAGAAGTTGAAAGGGTGAATGGCCGGCAGTTTTGTGGCGCAATGAGTTATAGGCAAAGTTGACGAATGGGAGGGCAATGTCTCAATCGATGTGGGCGTCGAAAGTGTACATAAAAAGTGGGTCTGTCAGTGTGCGGTTGAGGCATTCGGTCAGCCCGTTGATCTGAGAATGATAAGACGTGCTTAAGTTGTGACGAGTAGCACACAATCGCAGTGGGTCATCGAGCACCCGAGAGAGTCAGCAGCACCCACGGTCTGTGAGTAGGTGAAAAGGAGAGCCATGCTGAAGAATGACGTCATATCGTAGAAAATCAGCAACATCGGTCACACAAATGGTCAGTAGCGCTCGGTTGATAGTGCACCGAGTGGCATAATCTCTAGCTACTGCAATCCATTTATTTTCAGTTGTTGAAGTTGAAAAAGGACCAAACAAATCCAATACCACTTGATGAAGTGCACTCTTAAAAAAAAAAAAAAGGTTGTGTACTTAATAAGTTCGGTTTACTAAGTACTTGTCACATATATTACTAACCGGTTAGTAAGTGAAGTTAGTAATGGGGAGGTTAGTAATCGTTACTACCTTCACTGTTACTAACACAGTTAGTAATGGTTACTAACATAGTAATGAATGCTAGAAAAAAAAATTTACTAGACGCGATCATTTTGCCTCACGAATCACCTGTTTTAAAACAGTCATATTTCCAGGCATCAACATTTTGATATATCACTTAGTAATTACGCACATAATGCATAAAGGAAAATAGCACACTTACACAAGCCCACGCGAGAAGTACAGTTCGTAAGCGGTTCCAGGAGTATTTATAGCCCTAAGTGCAGCTGGTGCTGGTGGCGGCTATGCTGTAGGATGTATAATTTAGGCGCCTTTATTTGTAAAGCATATTATTTTTTATAGATGAGCAAGGTAACGTAGTGTAGGATTTTCAATCATGCATATTAAGAAAAACAATTAACTATGTCTATTCTGAATAATACTGCCTCGACACGGCCTCATATACAAGACATAGTATTGGGTAGTAAGTCTACATATATTGTGTCAAAGAACTTGAATGCATCCCCGTGCTACTAAACAGGTTATTAGACGCTCGTAGTAATAACCTTTAAGGTTTGTTTAAGAATTTCATTAAATATGCGCACGACAAAAAGTTACTAACAGTGCGCAAAACGTAGTAACCATTGCAATTCTCAAGCCTTTGCAAACAAGGGTAGTAAAATGGTGGTAAAAGATTAGTAATGACACAAGAAGGTACTATTACTAACATTTTGCTTCTTACAAACTTTTTTTAAGAGTGTGGCTCTGCTGGGACTTGGATAGGCTGAAGGTGACAGGCAGGGGGTGTCGTAGGTTTTTTTCGGCGCTGGCAGAGGTCGCAAGCCCCAACTTAGTCGGGAACAAAACGATAAGGGCCTTTCCAGAAGAATTGCCCCCATCTCCCTGAACATAATCGTGAGGAAACGCGAATGTATTTCTTGCGCCGAGAGTACACAGCGTAGTAACTTAATGATGTAAATTAATGACTAGACGAGGATTCGTACCATAACCATTTATTTACAAATTCATCAGCCAGCGAGCGCTTAGGAGTGAGGCGTGCGCTTCACTCCATTTGTAGTATATACATAGGAGTGAGCGGATGGGAAAGTGGGTTGCAGGGAGGATAGAGAGCGAACAGCGAAAGAAGGAGCGGTGGAGCAGTGTACCTACCCTCTCCTACACACACGAGGGAGCTCTGCCGAGCTCCCTGAGGCCCGTAGATGAAACAAGTTACCAAGGTAGTGACACCTTTCCCTTTCCTCCTTGACTATGTTCCTGGGGCACCCCCTAGAAGGTTCAAAACTTTAATCAAGAAGCAAATGCTTGGGTTCGATCGCTACGGTGAATAGATGTAAATTAAACAAAATAGAGCAAAATGACTCGTAGAATAAATGGTTACCTTTATGAACATAAACAGTACAACACAAGAGCAAGCGGGAAGTGCTTTACTCAACTGGCAACATTGTGCAGTTCTATATTTTACATCACTAGCCTTGGCCTCTGGCATCGTACATCGTAGTTCGTCCAGTTATAACTAGTCCAGTTCTTCGAATGTGTTTTGTTCGTGGTGTGACACAGTGAACGCGCTTCTTGCTGGATCCTCTCAGTGACCACAAGGTGTGACGTTGTGGCGCGTGATTACAGACAGATTGTGCACACGCAAGGAAACACCACAGCCAGACTGGTACGGACACTTGACTAGCAGCACTGCGATGACGGTTTTTTTTAAATGTGCCCAATTTGACAATTGTGATGCCAGGTGATTCAGGTGTGGTGCGCGAAACTTCCTGAAAAGTGAAAGTTCTACTGGTGAGGTGCCCCAAAGTAGCGCATTTCAACTCCTTTATGCCGCGTTCAGGTCAACTGATCAAGCGTGAAACGCTTCTGAAGGTACGTTGATTACACCCTCCAGCTGCTCTGTAAACGTGCATATGCACAAGTATTTGTACCAACTGTCATGCACTAGATGCGCATTAGACGCGCGCCTTGCATTTCAATAAAAACCGACAAATAAGCTCGCTTCGCAGATCCGTGAAGACGTACGTCGACGGAGTTCTACGAAAGCATTCGCGTGGAATGCTTCATAGCTACACTTCACGGTGTGCTTCATCTCAGATAGCACGAGTTAAGTTGAAGAGAGTGAAACAATTTTCAGTTGTTTTATGGTAATGCAGCATTGTTAAAAAATGTGGATGTTGCATTGAACGAGCACCGCAAAACTATCTTGGTCGACTGGTCGACTTGGAGCACACTGAAAAACACCTCCTTTTCAGTTCATGTCCTGGCTATGATTTCGTCTTCAGTCACGGTGAGAATCCGGCTGTAGCCATATGCGCATGCATACTCGTTTTGAATCATTTGTATAATAATAAATAACGCCACTAGCCATTTGCAAGATCACATGCAACGAATGCATGAATTACAGACGCGGATAGCAGAGAAAAGGAGCGGTAAGCGAGAGAGTGAGGAAGACGGCTCGAGAACAATGAGTGACGCAACCTTGGAAACTTGTTTCATCATGGGACCTTAGAGCTCGAGCGATGCAAGCGCCCTCACACGCCCACTCATTATCCGCTACTTTGCCCTCACCACCTGTTCTGTTTGCTAGGGGCGAGGATAAGCATGCACGCCCGCACCTCTTACTATGGGAGACAAAGTGAGAGCGGAGAGATAACACCTGCTGGTGCGCAGACACCAACAGACGCCTGACATGCCACGACTAAGAAATGCATTCGCATTTAAAAACGGTCGTCGAACGCGTTCGTAGATTTGGGTTAAGCCTAAGCACCCTGAAGTTGAGGCGTCGTGAAGCTTTTGAAGGAGATGCTCTTTCTCATCTTCACAAACGACCTTCCTAACGGCATTTCACCTCCTATTCGACTTTTTGCAGACACCTGTGTTCTTTATCGTAGCATCACAAAAAAACACCATAGTGACCATTATATGAAACAAAATGATCTGGATCTAATCGAAATCTGGTGTTCAAATTCATTAATGAAACTCAACATCTCGAAATGCAAAGTGATGCAGATATTCCGTAAGCGCTCAAACAGTAGATACACGTACTCCCTAAACTCGATAGCTTTGTCCTCAGTCGAATCATATCGTTATCCTGGTCTCACAATAAATAACAAGTTGACATGGTACGATCACATCACAAAATTAGCTGCCGATACTACTAAATCACTTGGTTACATCAGACGTTCTCTCTCCTTGTGTCCCTCAGCCACCCGAAAACTGGCGTATGAAACATTTATACGGAGTAAGCTTGAATATGCCTCAGCTATTTGAAGCCCTCATCAAGCATACCTCACTAACGTTTTGGAATCTATACAGAACTGTACGGCCAGATTCATCTCTTCCAGGTACAGCCGAGATGAAAGCATCAGTGCCATAAAGTCATTTCTGGGACTCGAGTCCTTATCATTCTGACATAAGATTGTAAGGCTGTGCTTGTTCCATAGGCTCTATTACAACATCCCTCAACTTCGTGGCAAACTCCTAAACCTCCCACACCGTACATCTCGTTGCCTTTTTAACTCTTGCAGCATCCAGCGATTGCATGATTTAACGTCTTCTTTCAATCAATCTTTTTTTACCGATCGCCATTGTAGAGTGGAATATATTGCCAGATAGTGTCGTCACCGAGCGTAACCCCATTGTGTTTAAACAGTTGCTTACTCATCACCTCACGCTACAATATTTATTACGACATTATACTGTTCTCCATGTCTCGTTAAATTGTAGTGATTTTATTTTTGCATCTAAACAGGTAATCTATTTCACTGAGATGTGTATTTCAAATTTGTGACCAGAGAAGTCTCATGTCTAACTTTCTATGTTACCCCCCCCCCCCCCCCTTATGTAATACCCCAACAGGGGCCTAAGGGAAA